ACATCTTTTACTTTAATAAGAAAAATTTATACAGTAGAACTTTGGTAAGTCGAAGTTGGAGGGACTTGCGTAAAAACTTCGACACATCGGGACTTCGACTCATGAATCGGTCTGAATTTCATGACAAAATTTCAACCCGTGACTAGCCCTAATTATAAGATCTATAATGTAACCTATTTCATGTTTTTCTTTCATTCATTAATCTGATATTCTACATTATACAATGATAAATATGACATGTTAAGTTACTTTTCACGGCTAATGATTTGGACTCCCTGTTGACGTGACGTATACAATGAAGTTACAAAAGGCGAACAATACAAAAGGGCAATAACTAAAATAGCTTATAGTAAATATTTCGCGTGTGATTTTCACGCGACACCGGGTCACGGAAATACTCAAATGATAGTTTTTACTGTTTACATGTACTTTCAAATACCTCTACAGCAATTAAAAAGTAATGATTAGAGCATTTTTCACACATTTAAACGCATACAAAGACTGTTTGAACACTCGGCTGTGTAATTAACACCTGTCCCTAAATTTGATCGGAAGTCGTCTTCGCGGCCAGAAAAGGTTTGAAAATGTCTCGAGATCGAAGGTGTCAAAATAACCGAAGAACTTCGACTTATTGTAAATTGTAGATTTATTATAGACCACAAAAAAATTTCGACACATCGAAAAACTCGACACATAAAATCTCGACTCATACATAGGTTTTTATAAGGAATATATAAGGGAAAAAATCGGAATTTTCATTTTACTTAGACACATCGAGAAAATCGACTAATCGAAGTTCGACTCATAGAAGTTCTACTGTATATGATCTTTTTTGCGACAAGAGAATAAGTTAACTATTACAAGATTATTGTATACACATTCTAAAGTAATACTATATTCACTCTATAACTATATTCAGAAATCAAAATTTGTATCAGACAATTAAATTATGCAAATAATGTTCTTGTCCAGAATGTATGTCGCTTTTCTAAGAACAGGCAATCAGTTGTTAACAAAAACCACCAGACGATTAATCGTGTTGTTTACTCTGAGTTTGATAGAGATTGTATCAAGCAGACGACATTTTCATTAAATCGGCAATTCTTTATTCCGATTCTACTAGACATAGTATTTATTTGATCAGGAATGAGCTAATCTTTTTGGCAATTTTTTTACAGGTACATTCATTGTGATGGTTATTATAGATTAAATTCTCTTGATTTATCAAAGTAACACAATAATAACATGGCGACCAGCATTGTTATCTAGTAAAAATGTGACACGTTTTTAACGTCGTTGAAAATAAGAAGAATTTTTAATGAAATAAAAATTTACCTCTTACAATCTTTGGATTAGTAAAGTTTATCTGCGGTAGATTATTGTCATTTAAAGGCATTGCTACATCGTATTATTTATCTCAAATGAATAAAATGGAAAATTAAAGACTATTGAACACATGAGGAACATAACAAAAATGTTGACATTGATAGTTTAAATTCTATTCTAGCCATGCACTCATGTATAATTTATCTATTCATTTAGTATAATAGACAATACTATAGACACAATGTTGTAAAATACAAACTAAAATTCAACTAAAATAGTTTGCCAAAAAAACTGAATGCCATTCAAAGAGGATGATTTTATGGTTTTGCTTGAGTTTTTTTCGAAGTTTTTACTCAGGCACTTAAGTGTTGAAAATTAAGACCGGCGCTAGGCGGGCTTGACATATGTTGCACTTTTCATTATCACTCATGGTCAGACTCAATCTTCATGCAGTTTTCTTATGACATGCTTCCGAAGGATCACACTTTATCCAGGTTTTTATTGAACAGAACAGAGCAGAAAATTTATTTTAGATTTAAGCATTACAGCTTATCATCATCAACCATTAAGTACATACGTATACAATAATTACAAATAAATAAATAGCATACAAAAATCATGGATTGAATTACATACATCATTTCGGTTAGATATAAATGTATTTAATTTGTTGCGCATGAGAGAGTACACATCTGTATAATGATATTTAATTTTGAGTATTCGTGTTGGAATCCCTTAATTGAAAAGCCTTTACAATAAAAATAGAAAGTCTATGCAGAATGTATTTATTCTTCACAACAGCTGGTGGCAAGCGCTGTGTGGCAGCTGTAAAAAGTTGAACCGTACTTCACTTCAGTGTTATTATTTTTTTCTGGTCCTTCGAGATCATTGATTCCAGCACTGTTGAAAATTGGGTACCGTTCACGCCTGTGCTAGGGCGTTTGGGGATGTTACACCTTTTCATTATCCTCATGTGTAGACTCAATCAGGCCAAGTCTACAAATTTCATGTAGTTTTGTTGTGATTTATGCTCAGAGGGATCACACTTTATCCAGATTATTGTCATGGAAACGTTTTCGTACATTAAATATGGCTTTTTAACAATATATTTTCATATTTTAATGCGAATTGAAAAATAATCATGTACAAGCGTTGGAAATAGATGAAATAATCGGAACACCTCAAAAAGGGACCCATACTGTGCACGCCATCCGCCATATTGTTTTTGATTTTTTTGTTGTTTTTTTTTTGTTAGCTTTATATAAAATTTAACTACTTTATTCATATGCAAACCTTGAATCCAGTGTGTGGGCTTCTACTTGGTAAACGATATACGGAATATTTCTCTTAAGAGAAGAAACATTAGCTCTTTTGTTCAGGAATGAGGGGTTTTTCATGATTTGTTATTTCGAAAACCCGACTGAACAATCAAATTAAATTACTATACCAAAAAGTTTGAATGCCATTCAAAATGGATGACTGTAGGGTTTTGCTTGAGTTTTTGTTCGAAGTATTGATTCTGGCACTTTAAGTGTTGAAAATTTAGTACCGCTAATGCCGGTGCTAGGTTAGCGTGAGGGATGTTTCACCCATAAACAGCCTTAATCAAACGAAGTCTGCTATTTTCATGGAGTTTTGTTGTGAACAATGACTTCGATGGATTACAATTTATCCAGATTTTTATACTTCCCCATCTTTTCATTATCCTTCGTGTGCAAACTCATTCAGACCGAGTCTGCAATTTTCATGTAGTTTTGTTGTAATAAATGCTTTTTTATCCAGATTTATGTAGTGGAAACGTTTTCATGCATTAAATATGGCTTAAACAATATATCTTCATATTTTAATGCAAATTGAAAAATTACCGTATACAAGCACTGGAAAAACATGTAATAATCGAAGCATTCTTCAATATCTCTCCAAAAGAGCAAGGTGTAATTTTTGATTTCAAAAAGGATGAAAAGATAATGTAAAAAAGTCCAGACTCATTGAATTGTATCTCTTCCTTATAGAAATTATTATAATTTTATGACTTTTATCGGAGGCTTATATTACAGATGCATCTACGTGCTTTTATTTTGCATAAATTTCACATAAGATTTTACTGAAGTGAGATGACTGGTCATTAACATAGACAGGAATATCGGTCAATTTCGTCTGAATAATTATAAGTGTATATATTACAATTCTTTTTTCAATTTTCCCGAAATTGTGTAATGCAAAACTATTGTACGTACTTATTTTATATAATATTTTCGCATTAAATTTCGAATACCATGCTTAATTTTTCTATAGTAGATGGCCTATTGCAGTGATTTGAAAAAGGAAAGATCATTTCTTTTTTCTTAACAGGACACTACAAATGCTGGTTCCTTCTTTGGCATAGCGTGAGAAACGACTGATACCAGATGCTCGCAAGTTTAGTTTCTCTTTCTTTGTAGGAAAAGGAAAATGCAAATTGGTTGTTTTCAGCCGCTAGAATGCAAACTTAACAATATAAAATGATTTTTCACCTTTCCTATAATGCATTGGTGTAAGTTTTATGACAGTTCATTAAGGTATAGAAAGTTGGCATATTTTTCATTTACTCTGCGACAACTATAATATAGCTTCTTTGTTTCACCACACCAACCTACAGTATAGGGATTATTCAGATTCTTCAACACAACTTTTCCTGTAGAACAGTCTCCTGATATTTCTTCTATAACATTTCTCCCTTTATCACACACAAAGACTGTACCATCACCTGACAGTGACATTCCTCTAGGCCAACTCATACCACTATAACTACCAATCACATCACCTTGCCAGTTTAATCTTGTTACTGTCTTCATCTCCCAGTCAGATACATAAATTGAACTTCTGTTACATGTTATATAATAGGGATCTTTGAAAATATTTTTTCCATCAATTGTTGTCAGTATAGTGCCATTCATATCAAGGATCTGAAGTTTTGCAGGGACAATGAATGACACAACAAGTTTACCTTGGTAACAGCTTATACCACCACAGATTCCATCAACCTTCACATTGTGCTTCTTTATAAGTTTGTTTGATGATAATGATATTAACTGAATTTTTTTTGTGTAAGAGAGTGTGACAGCAATTTCAGTACTGGTAACTCTTGTGATATCCCATGGTTTATCATCTAGTTGTAGTTGATCAGACACAGTTTGACTGCTGGTATCTACCATCTTTACAGCATGGTTATGGAAGTCAGTGATGATAAGAAGATCAGGAGTAAGCAGTGTTATTCCTGTTATCCAGCATCTAAATTCATCTGTTGATGTCTTCACACAGATTTTTCCCTCATGTGAAGATTGTCTATACTTTATTTGTAAAGGTTGACATTCTTTATTTAAGGTATTGTGTGTCAAGGTACCTAATGACCTCTCTGTTTTAAGCTTGGTTAATACTTTTTCATTTGCTTGAAAGTGGTGCTCTTTGACATCATATGATGAAAGCTGTAGTGTAGTTTTCTCAACATCTTTCATTATTTTTTCTGCAAGCTTAAGCTCCATAAAGAGTGTATTAGCTTGTTTTGATGTGTTGAGCTGTTTGATTTTTTCTGAGGATATCTTCAAGGAATTGGTAACTATTTCACACGATGTTTCTACTGCTGTAATATTTGAGTTATTTTCTTGTTCTGCGACCTTGACTACATGTACAACCTGTCATTCCAGTTCATCAAGTCTCTGGTTTATTTCTATCCGAAACTTTTTAATATCTTCTAGTGCATCTTTTAGTGATCTGTTAGATTTCCCCGTCATTTCCTTGACATCTTCTACCATCTGTTGATAATGATCAAAAGTGGTATTAAGTGTTTTCAAGATAATTTGATATTCTTTGCTGTCAATTATATTACAAGAAATATCAGGTATATAATCAACTTTGCAGGAAGTAGGTTGGTGTTCAAGGGTAACACAAACACTGCAAAGTAATTTTTTATGGTCATTGCAGTAGAACTTGATCATTTCTTGTGGATGTTTAAAACAAGGTGTTGTAAGATCATCAGACTGGCTTGTGTGGATGGATGTTGAGGGTTGCTGCAAAACTTTAGGCATACTTGTAGCATCTAGAACTGTATGGTGTTTGGAAGATTTAAGTTTTTTGTGGACTGTTAAGCATGTCTTGCAAAGGTGTTCCTTGCAGTCAGTGCAGTAACCAAGGGCAGGGAGTCTAGTTCCTTCCTCGTCACAAGGCTGGCAGTAAACTTGAAGATCTTCATCTGATGCCATGGATGTTGTCGATGATGAAAACTGTTTTGATCCTTTCTTTCCTGGGACTGCCATGTTTTACCTAAAATTTAGTATAAACAAGTTGAGTATTTATTGTTCACGTGTCCATTTGTTTCTCTTTACCATAGCATGTCACTCTGATAGTACAATATAAAGAAAGAAACAGACTGTAAATGCAAACATTTATGCTAGCCTGTGATATTTTTACTGAGTTGGGATATACATCACATAAGCAACATTAATGTCTTATGACAGATTTCTAGCTTTACTGGTCATGGAAGACATAAACAGTTCCTCTATGCAGTGTTTTAGAAATCAGTTGGCAAGACAAAAGTAAAAGAACCAATCTTATATTCTACTCTATTATCAAAATTAATGGGTTAATTATTCACACCGAGAATTCGACCTTTCTCAAGAGAGAAATTCAAATAGGTCCTTGAAAAACATTAATTTATAGTCAAATTATTATTACAAAATTCATGATAGGGTTGTATACTGTCAGGTAAAGGTCACAATTAAATATTATCATTTTAGAATATTGAAAAAGAAAGTTATTTTTACTAAAAGGGGCTTAATTTTATCGAATTCCATAATAATAGTTATGAACTGTTGTTTGAAAGTTTGGTGATGGTCATACTGAAACAGTTTGGTTGGGTAAAAAAAAAACATAGCAGAAATTCCAAATTGAAAAATGGATATCATATTCTCAAAGTCCAGATAGATTTTTGTCTTTGCAAGTTTAAGGGTGAAAAGCTGGGGGTGGGTGGGGGAAAGTGTGGTATTGATGATTCTTTTCATTAAATGTATTTAAAGTTTCATGAATATAGTTAAAATGATTATAAGCTCAAAAATTAATAAAAGGTGTGACTCCAAAAACAAGGTGAGAAACATTACTCTCACCTAGTATCAGGATTTCATATAAACATAAAAACTAAAGTCAAGCACTTGTTTATAAATCACGTGATGGCAGCCAATATTTTGTGCCATTCCATTATTATCATTATTTAATATCAGCCTATAGTAGTTCCTTAGATTAAATAAGTTGCAACTGTACTGTCCAAACTTGCTCACACAACTAAACAGAGACAAAACCTATGTTAACAAAACAAAAACAAATAAACCAAAACAATTTATGTATTTGAAGTTATTTTAGTTTAAAATAAAAAAAGTTAAAAATGTTTTACCTGAATAAAATTTTTCCTTAAAATTTTTCACTTGTTGAAAATTGTCTTATTGTCCTATATTTGTAACAATGTCCTCTATATTTGTAAATATTTGGCTGTCGCTAAATATCATTCAACGAATACCGGCCCAGGTTTAATGAAATTTGATATCAGCGTTACTTCCTTGTTAAGACAGTAAGATAAACTTTATTTAAAGTTACATTAAATAAATATGTAAAAATATTTTGCCGTCGGCCTAAAAATCAAACATTCTACAGTTTCATTAACCTGTTTAATAGTATTGTTGTAAATCTCATCAAATATTGTTCATAAATTAGGATTTTAAACGGGAAACCCCACGGTACCACTAAAGTTCGTATACGAATTTTAACATACAAATGAAGATTATAATGAGCTCGTGTATGCACTACGTCACAGTTTTTTAGTTGCTATCCGGAACATAGCAAATGTGATATTTTCTTGTGCAAACCCACTTTAACCGTTAAAGCTTCACAGTGCACTAAACCTGGGGTTCAGTAAAAGTAATAATCTCGTAAAAAGATTAAATTTGTATGAAAACATCCGTTACAATGCGGAAATATACCGTTAAATTAGGACTGCCGCTTATAGTCATGTTTGTTGATTTAATATTGATGTACGGATGATCCGAAGGCGGATTTTCTCATGCAAACAGAAATTGTATTTTCCATTTCGCCACAATGAGGTTACCTATTTTTATGCTAATAAAACTCATTTTGGTTGTTTGGACACCAAAATAAGACCTGGAGTCGATATAAAACCCAATTTATTAATGAATTGTCGCTATTTAGTTTTTTAAGAAATTTATTTAATGTAACTTTAAAGTCGGGTTTGGGGGAACATGGGGTAAAGTTTATGTTTTCTCACGCTTAAATTATTTTCGCTCTGCGTCAGACCAAAATTAGCCGAATACATTTCATCTTCATAATTTACTTATTTTTTCAATGTCCCTTTAAAAACGGGTGAATGGTTTAAAGTTAGATTGGGAAAAACTGGAAAAATCCCTTCAAGATATTTAGTGGGGTTTTGAAAATAAATAAAAATACAAAGGGTTTTTGTTTTAAAAGGTTTTAAACCCCTTTTTGTTTTTAATTTAAAAAACTGGGTATAATTAAAAGTAGCTATTCCCCAAAAAAAAATTTTATAAACTTTAAAATGTACTTTCCTTTTAAATTTAACCGACTTTAAACTATTAAAAAACATGTGTATTCAATGTTTGTTTGCATTTGAAATCTGAATTTCAAAAGTATTCATTCTGAGGTTGTGAACTTTTTTTACAACATTTTGTGATTAAACATGTACAATTTAATACGGAAGTACGGAAGCGTCCTGGTGCCAAATCATAATGTTCTATAAAAAAATAAACTCCTACGTAGGAGATAAAAAAAGCCTAATTAGGACTATATAACACCTACGTAGTACTTTTAAACTCCTGCGTAGGACTTTAAAACTCATACGTAGGACTTTATAAGTCCTACGTAGGACTTTGTTACTTCTATGTAGGACTTTATAACTCCTACGTAGGAGATAAAAAAGCCTAATTAGGACTTTATAACTCCTACGTCTGACTTCATAACTCCTACGTAGAAACATATCAAAGTACTGAAAGCACACTGTTCGACGGACATGTATGCTAAAGTATAACTTACGGAAATGTCCTGGTGCCAATTCATAATGTTCTATAAAAAACTCCTACGTAGGAGATAAATAAGTCTAATTAAGAGTTTGTAACTCACTCATAAAGTCCTACGTAGGAGTTTATAAGTCCTACGTGGGAGTTTATAGGTCCTACGTAGGACTTAATAACTACTACGTAGGAGATTAATAAGCATAATTACGAGTTTGTAACTCCTACGTAGGAGTTTATAAGTCCTTCAAAGGAGTTTTTTAAGTCCTTCATAGGACTTTATAACTCCTACGTAGGAGATAAATAAAAGCTTAATTAGGACTTTATGACTCCTACGTAGTACTTTTAAACTCCTACGTAGGACTTTTTAACTCCCCCCCCCTTTCCTACCATAGGACTTTATAACTCCTACGTAGGAGATAAAAATCCTTATTAGGAGTTTGTATCTCCTACGTAGGACTTTATTGCTTTATAAGAAATGCATACAGAATGCTTTGCAAAATCTTAACATTCCGGACCGATATATCGATGATGGAACCAGACACTTTAACAACCCCCCCCCCCCCCCGGGCAGAAATTTCAAATTTTAAATAAAGAGGAAATATCACCTTTGGTTTATACAGATTTTTTTAAGTTTGATTGTGTAGGAAGCTATGAGCTTATAGACACACTTTCGAACCAACCAGTACGTACTGAGCAATGAGTGTAAAGTTTCTTGCTCAAGTAAACAACGGCTTGCGCCTAACGGGGTTTGAACCCATGCGGCTGTCGATCATTAGGTTACTAGCCACACGGCCATGCCTTTAATAAAGTGTCTCAGGTTTCTAGAGTGTACAGTGTCTTAGGGTGAGGTGTCTGTAAGCATTGGCGACGTATCGCGAAAAATATTTTTACAGCTATTCGAAAAATTTACTCGACAACAAGCATTTCTAAAATATGAATACATCAAAATTTTAAAAGGCTTTAACAATTACTTTTTCCATACGAACAAGCTAAACAAACGAGCAATTTATCCATTTTCGGCCGTTTCAAATATATTATCTCCTTATAGTGGGCAGGTCGAGTATTGAATGTCTTTTCCTGAATCCGTAAGTTTTAAAAACAAAAAACGGTTTACGAAGCATTATGTATGCTAATGTTTATTTAATTTTCTTAAATTTCATAATTTTGTGTACATGGTATAATCAATTAACTAACGTCATATACGAATATGTTTAATATTTGGCAGAGAATGACAGAAATTATCTCTGGCTTACGACTAAAGGTATTTCTTAAGCGGTTTTGCCATCAATTACAAATTGACAACATAAATTTTATTTTTCTTCTAATAATCTATCTTAGTTTACTTAGCAACGTCCGTCGAACTCTTGCCCTTTCGTCTTTGATAAGTGGTTTTCCTCTTACGGTGGTTTTAAAAGTCCTACGTAGGGTTAATGAACTTCCCTAATTAGGCTTTTTATCCTTACGTAGTAAAATTTAAAATCCTAGTAGGGTTATAAAGTTTCCCAGTAGGGATTTTTTATCCTAATTGGGCCCTTTTTTAATCCCACGTAGAAATTATAAAATCCCAGGGACTTTAAAAATCCCATTTGGGGTTTTTTATTTACTAGGATTTAAAGCCCACGTAGGGCTTCAAAATCCTCTAGGGGTTATAAACCCTAATTGGCTTTTTTTCTCCCAGTAAGAGTTTAAATTTTCCCACCCTAGGGTTGCAAAACCCAAATAGGGGTTATTTTTTTTAAAAGAAAATGTTAATTGGCACCGGACGCTTCCCTAAAATCATATTTTTCAAATTGTAAAAAATTTATTCTGTGATAAAAAAGGGGATCTCCTGGCCCTTTTTAAGTTTTTCGTTGTTTTCGTTTTCTGAAAATTTGCACCGGAAAATTACGTTTTTCGGGCTTTATAAAATTTGGCCCCCCCGGTCTGTTTTGCGGTTTTGGACCCTGAAAGGGTTTTTTGAAAAAATTTGAAGGGCGTAATTTAAAAAGAGGGTATTTATGAGTGGGCCCCCGGGGTTTTCCGGTTTTACGGCCCTTTGGGGAAATTATTTTTATTCAAAGAGTTCAAAAAAACAGCAAAAATTAATGAAATTTTAAAATTTTTTTATCCCCACAAAAAAAAGCTGTTTAAAATGAAAAAGGGCCATTTAAATTTGGGGCGCCTACGTTTAAGCGTATTTCACCTATAGGGTTTAAACCCCTTTTTCCCTGTTATAAGTTGCG